CACGAGGCCCCCGAGGAGAGCCCCCGGGCCGTCCCGGCGGCGGTGACGGGAGCACCTCTCCGGCCGAGGGTCGGCGCCCTCTCGCTGGGCCCCGCCTCGAGGGCAGGCAGCGGGCAGGAGTGCCTCCGAGGAGCCGGCAGCGCGATAGGGCGGCGGCGGGGGGGGGGGGGCCAGGCTCGTTTCATTTTCGAGGGTTTCTACGGCTTCGCGGGCGCGACTATTCAGTCACTCAGGAGGGTTTTTATGGCTTCGGGGGTGCGCATGTGGCATAATTCACGAGGGCTTATGGCTTCGGGGGCGCGAAGGTTGCACAGTTTGCGGAGGTGAATGGCCTCGGGGGGGGAGGGGGGGGGGGGGGGCCAGGAGGCCCTGTGCGGGGCGAGGTCTGCGGTGGGCCGCGCGCCGCGCCCAGCAGTGCCGGGGCCGGGGGCTTCGCGCCCCAGGAGCAGCGCGTCCCAGACTCTGCCCAGCAGCGACAGGGCCTGATGCCGCTGCCCCAACGTCTCGCACGTGCCGATGCCAGCGGGCAGGCCGATGACGTCGGGCTCCAGCATCGCCTCCCGCATCTCTCGGAGCAGAGACAGAACCTGCTGCCACTGCTCGCCTCTCTCGCAGGCTCTGACCCCAGCATTGTAGCTGACCACGCCAGGCTCCACGTTCGCCCCGCGCATTTCGCGGAGCAGCGCCAGAGCCCCCTGCCATTGCTCGCCTTTCTCGCACGCGCTGATTCCAGCGCTGTAGCTGATGACGTCGGGCTGCACCGCTGCGTCACACATCTCACTTAGCAAAGACACAGCCCGTTGCCACTGCCCGCCCGTCTCGCACGCGCTGATGCCAGCGTTGTAACTGACGACGTTGGGCTCCAACACTGCTTCCTGCATCTCCCGGAACAAAGCAAGCCCATGTTCCCATTGCCCCCCTTTCTCACACGCGCTGATCCCAGCGTTGTAGCTGATACCTAGGGTGACTCTTGGATCAGTCCACAGCGAACAACAAGTAATGCCAGTGATAAATGCATGTGTATATATGTACACATCGATGTACGCGTGTACATAATGAGTCTCCATACATATGAAATAATATATTAGAAGCGCGCCTGCATTGACACATCGCTGTTTGCTTGACATTGCTGAGGCTAATGGACACGCTTATGTTAGTGACTGTGTATGGCATTCATGGACTGTCTAGGGCCCGTCTTGGCCAGTCCCAAACCAAGGATGCCCAACCACCGAACACACGTGACCAGTGTTGAATCATGGGCAGCGTGATTTCTCGCTGTCGCCTGCAAACCACAACAGCACTTTGCGAATGGAACTCTGGAGAGCTTCTCGGAATCTATGTTTGAGTTTGACGGGCTTGGGGTGGCGTGTGGGAGACACTCGGGAGCATCTCGCGGACTGCCATGAAACTCTAAGAACATCGGGAACAACTCGAGAAACTCTTGCAGCCATGTCAGACTGCTCGTTGAGCGGCTCTGGAATCATAGTGACTCTGTCTGAGCGCTCTGACAGCGCGTGGGCGAACTTGCGCAGTCTTGGAAGCAGCCTGGGCCCGTGTCGGGCTCGTATGGCGAGAGGCCAGGAAAGAGTGTTGCAGGACCTGTTGATCTTCGAGGTTGTGTGCATCTCAGTTAGCTGTGGACGCAAACCTGTTTCGCTTTCCCCCCTGACAGAACTATTGACAGGATGAGGTTGGGCTCCACCATCGCGCCATACATCTCGATGAGAAGAGACAACGCCCCAAGCCATTGCTTGCCTTTCTCGCACGCGCTGACTCCAGCAGTATAACTGGTGAAGTCGGGAGTCAATCTGACCTTCCGCATCTCGCCAAGCAACGACAGGGCCTGTTGCCAGTGCTTACCCTTCTCGCACGCGCTGATCCCTGCGTTGTAAATGACCAGGGCTGACCAGCGAACACCAATACAGCACAACACAACATAACAACTCATCCGAACGGAGACGTCTGGTCGCGGTCAGGCCTGGCAGACACAAGACACCACGTAGTGGATCACCATCGAGGCAACTATGCCCGAGAGGGCAAGCCTGTTCGTCGCGGCGATGTGGGCACAACACATACGGCAAACAACCAACATCAGAAGCCAGGCATGTTCGCGGCGCCGCGAAGCTGGCGCGGCTGCATGACATGCTGTCTCGAGATATCGCTTGCTGCTGTTCGCTGCCGCGTGCTGATGGTTGATGCTGCCTGATGCTGATTGCTGCAACGCTTTGGGTAGCAACTCGCTGCTCCTGTTTGCTGCTGGTTGTTGCTGCTTGCTCCTTGTTGTCGCTACGCCTTGCTGCTAATGGCTGCTGCTTGGTGGTGCTGCATGTTGGTGCTGCTTGCTGGATCCGCGTGCTGCTGCTTGCTGGATGTACTTGGTGATCGCTGCTGGCTGCTCGTGGCTGCTGACGCTGCTGAATCCCCTGCTGCTGACTCTGCTACTGCTGCTGCTGCCTCTGCTGGAATGTCGGGGGACACAGTCGGCACATCGATGAGCCTGCGGGGCCATCTTGAGGGCCCATCATGATCAACATACAATAATCCTAACACTTTGAGGGGGGACCTAAGTTAGGATTGCCAGAAACATTAGGGATAGGAGGTCTTTGAACCAACCAACCCGCCCATGATTATAATCCCTAATGCGAAGACAGGGCCCCAAGTAAGCCCACGTCTTCACTCTGTTATAGGGTTAGGGGTTCTTCTATCCTCGATCATACCTTAGGGCCTCCTGGTCCCGTGGGCTGCCTGGAGGCATTTTGCGGCCCTCTACGGCCACATCGGGAAGACCTCAGGTCGTCTTCGCGCGCCTGGAGCTTTCCCAGGGCCCTCAGGGGGGGAGCCCTCTCGAAGCGCTCCAGGGGCGGCAAGGGAGGGCTCCGCGAGGTGGCTTACTTGGGCAGTCTTGGTGCCTTCAATCCATGTTGGAGTCTGCCTGAGGCACTCTGGGGCCTTCAGGGTCCAGAATAACCCGATGGAACAAGACCGGGCAACAACAACCACGAGCGCACAACAACCATCTAGCACTGATTCTGGTGTGTTCATCGTACGGGGCCTCGGGCTAAAATCACGAGTCGTGGAGCCTGGCTCGGGGCCTCTTGAACCGTCTTGGACGCATCCTGAGCCATCCTCGTGCTTCGAGGGTCTCAGGCAACATCTGGGAAGCCGCCTGGGGGCTGCTGGGACCCGCCGGGTCGTCTCTCGGGACGACGATCCCCGTCTCCCAGGAACGCACCGCATCTGGCAGTGGGTTCACGCGTCCCCCGTTTCTCAGGACGACGATCCCCGCGTCTCGCAGGGGCGAACCAATGGAGTTAAGGGGGGTGGGTCGGGTGGAGCTGCTCAGCGCCTGTCCTCTCGGGGGCGTCCAAGAGGGGGGTGCCTAAGAGAGGGGGAGTCGCAGGTCATGGCCCGAGGCATGAGCCTGGCTCAGGGCGGAGGGGGGGGGGGGGGGAGCAATGAACGCATTGCAACAAGACAAGGGGGCCACGACGTCCGGGGAGTCATCATGGATCCGGCCCGAATTGGGGGAACGAGGAATGACGTAAACATAAAAAATCGGAAGTCCGCGCGGATGTCTGGAATCGGCGCTGGACACCCCTCCACGGGCGGCGCCGGAGGCGCCGCCTGGCGTGCCCAGGCGCGGTGTTTGTCAGTTTTTGTTTCGTTTTCGAGTCATGGATCTGGCCAGGATACACCCCCCTAATCCCCTGACCTTCCAGGGTGCTCAGAAGCAGCACTCCAGACCTGTAGACCCCTCTCGCCTGCTCGAAGCCCCGACTGGAGCTCGGGCATCTGGGCCCCGACTGGAGCTCGGGCATCTGGAAGGTCGGGGTGGTCAGTCGTCATCCCCGCTGGCCGTCCCCCCCCCCTCTTCGTCGAGCGCGCCAGGCGCTCGGCACGCAGGCGCTGCTACACAGGGGGGGAGAGGCAAGGGCGCCGCGCCGCGCCGCCCCCCTCAGTGGGTCTGGGCGAGCGCCTGCCGGACCGGCAGGCTCCTCTCTGGCCTCCCTCGGGCTCCTCCCGCGCGGCAGCGGCCAGAGGCCAGGAGCTGCAGATGCACCTCCTCCTCCTCCTCTTATTTGTTTTCTGATTATTCTTATTCTTATTATTATTATTATTAGTATTATTATTATCAGTATTATTATTACTATTATTATTATTATGTTCATTCCTCTTCTTATTATTATTTATCTTATTATTATTATTATTCCACTTCTTCCTCCTCCTCCTCCTCCTCCTCCTCCTCCTCCTCCTCCCCTCTCCTTCCCTTCCCTTCCCTCCCCTGCCCTCCCTCAGGAGGGGGTGACGTCGAGCTCCAGCTTCGATTCCCGCGCTCCGCCGAGTAGCAACAAAGCCCACTGCCACTGCCCGCTTTTCTCGCACGCGCTGACCGCGGCGCTGTAGCCGATGCCGCCAGGCCGCAGCCTCGCCTCCACCATCTCGCGGAGCAGCGACAGGGCCCGACGCCATTGCTCACCTTTCTCGCAGGCGCTGATCCCAGAGCTGTAGCTGATGACGTCAGGAGCCAACGCCACATCCCACATCTCGCGGAGCAGCGATAGAGCGTGCGGCCACTGTGCACATTTCTCGCAGGCGCTGATCCCAGCGTTGTAGCTGACGACGTGAGGCTCCCGCCTGGCCGCCAGCATCTCGCGGAGCAGCGACAGGGCCTGCTGCCACTGCTCGCCCTTCTCGCAGGCACTGATCCCAGAGCTGTAGCTGATGACGTCGGGGGCCAACGTCACCTCCCACATCTCGCGGAGCAGCGATAGAGCGTGCCGCCACTGCCTGCCCTTTTCGCAGGCGCCGATCCCGGCGTTGTGGCTGACGACGCTGGGCTCCAACTCCGCCGCCAGCATCTCGCGGAGCAGCGACAGAGCCCGCTGCCACTGCCCGCCCTTCTCACACGCGCTGATCCCGCCCCCGTAGCTGAGTGGTGCGAGACAGTGGGCAGTCCACGGCTGGGAGGGCCAGGCCGCCTGTGCCGAGGACCATGCGGCAGCGGGGGCGCTGGAGGGCCTGCCGCTGGTGGTGCGGCTGCTTCTGGTGCTGCTGCTGCTGCTGCTGCTGCTGCTGCTGCTGCTGCTGCCTCAGGGGCACTGCGGGGCCCTGTGCCGCATGCCTCGTCAGCGGGATCACAGCGGGCCAGCCGCTGGTGCTGCTGCGCCTGCCGCTGCTGCCGAGAGGCATTAGCCCCTCGGGGGCCCTGCGGCGCCTCAGCGGGCCACTGCTGCTCCCTTGGAGCGTTCTTGTGGCACCACTGGGGCCCTTGCATTCAAGGCCTTCCTGAGGCCTCTCGGGGCCATAGTCGCGCCCGTCAGGATGCAGAACGGCGGTTTGTGGGGGCGTCCGCGGGCGGCTTCGCGGGTTACTGAGGCTGTGTTGAGGCGGCCTGGGGCCGTCTTGGAGTCGTCTTGGGGCCGTCTTGGAGACTCCCCGAGCGGTCTGAGGCGATCTTGGAGGTGCCTTGTGTCTTGGGCACTCTTGGAGTCCCTGGGAATCCCCTTTGGCCATCTCAGAAACATGTGGGCCCAATTTTGGAGCGAAACGCCGGCCCAAATACATCAACGCGTGTTCACAGTGTTCGGCTCTCTGGGGCCATTTGCGGACCATCATCAAGGGGCCTCCTGAAGGCATCGTTGGGCCGTCCTGGCATGCTTGACACATCTGCGGATCCACTGGGGGGGCCTTGGGCTCCACTGGGGGCCCTCGGGCGGAGCACTTCGGAGGTCGTGGAGACGCGCCGCTCGTGTTAGGTCGGGCATGTCCCCCTACATGCGGACTCCTGGACGAAACATAAAACATAGTCAACAAACAGATCTAAAGAACACTCACAACTAGCCAACCACCAACAAAAACATCCCCTGACTATTTGCTCGACAATGCTTGAATATCCCTCCCGTAGACGGACAGGCCCGGCTCCACGCTCGTGGCGTCCCCGGACCGTGCTGGCCTGGCATCGGCGGCCCGAGAGCCAGGTGCCGCTCCTTGCTAAGCCCGCGCGCGAGGTGCAGCTGAACGCAGCAGCTGCTTTGACGGCCGCGGGAAGCCACCACGCAGCGCGCGGAGCGAAGAAACCAAGGGTCACCTGACGAGAAGCAGATGGTTTCTTGATGCGCGCCCCCACTGTATGATGGCTGGCGTGTTGCCAAGCAATTGAAATCACAACGCGGGGCTCGAACTTCACAATCCGCGCCTGCTACTGCGTGCTGCCGATGGGTCTCGCCGCTGCGTGGAGCTGGGGTCAGGGGGAGGGGGGGAGGCTTCCGAGAGGGAGGCTGCTCCTTGGAAGGCGCGGGCCCTGCATCTGCAGACAAGGCCCGCGCCTTCTGAGAGGCAGGCTCCCTCTGAGAAGCCTTCCCCCCCCCCAAACCCGAGTTATCCCTGACCCGAGTTACCCCTGATGATTCGGGGCTCTGGACGCCCGAGTTATCCGGGGTAACTCGGGTCCGGGGTAACTCGGGTTTGGATTCCCGAAAAAGGAACCCGAGTTATCCCTGACCCGAGTTACCCCTGATGATTCGGGGCTCTGACGCCCTCCTCTGCGCGTGGCGCCGAATTGCAGCCCGCGGCTGCGAGCTGCGGCCGATGGCCGCCCAACTCTGCCCGCGGCGTGCCGCGGCCCGCGGCCTGCCGATTGCTGCCTGCCTGCCCGCACGCCGCTGGTGCCCGGTCCTCTGCCGACGTGGCCCGCCCCTCGGACCGCCTCGGCCCGCCGGTGCTCGGGAGAGGGGGGCGAGGAGCGAGCGGAGGGGGGGGGGGGGAGCGAGGAGAGGCGCCACATTCGGGGGCGGCCAGGAGGGGGGCGTCCAAGAGAGGGGGGTGCGCAAAAATCGTGGCCGCGCGGCATGTGCGCGGGCTGGGGGGGGGGGGGGACGCATTGAAATAAGAAGTGGCGCCATGCCATGGAGTCTGGGGAGATTTGGCCCCCGCCATGATATCCCCCCCCCTAGTCCCCCCCCCCTCTGGGCCGCCCCCGATGCATGCTTTCCATCCGCGGCGTGCCGAAGAGAGGGAGGCGAGGAGCCACCCGCGAAGAGCGAGAAAGAGGACAGGAGGCGGCGGCGGGGGCGCCCGCAACGAGCCTGGAGGAGGCGGCACTGGGGGGGGGGGTGCTCTGTGCGAGCATGGAGGCCTCCTAGATGGGGTCCGAATACATGGGGCCGAAGGATCGCGCCGCATCGCCGATGCATCGGCGATGCATCGGCGACGTCGGCTATGCATCGGCGATGCTCGCGGGGAGAAAACCGAGCTCCACATCGAGCCGCATCGCCGATGCACCCGCGATCGCCGCGATCCTCCGACCCCGTCTGCTCGGCCCTCACCTAGGAGGCCCCGAGAGCACCGAGGCGGGAGGAGCGAAGAGCCTGGCGAGGCTCGGGGGGGCCCCAGAACCGTGCGGCCACGGACCGCGCAGTGACCTCGGCCTCCCGAGAGGCCCGAGCCGCACGGTCCGGCACCGCACGGCCCTGAGAAAGGCCCCGGTCGCCCAGGACGCCCTCGCAGGACGGCCCGCGTCCAGAAGCCGTGCGGGGACCCCGGCGCTCCCCGCTGCCTCGCAACGCGGTGCGGTCACCACACCGTTCGGGGCCCCCCCAGGGAGGGGGAGCCTGGGGGGAGGAGAGGGGCCGGAGGGGAGGAGGTGCACGAGCGGTGAGCGGGGAGAGGCAGGGCGAGTCAGCGCGGGGCGGTCTGGACGGTCTGGGCGAGAGAGGCAGGGAGCAGACGGCGGCCCGCACGCGGTGGCCAAGGGGGAGGGCGAGGAGGAGGGATGCTCGCAGAGCGGCCAGCACAGTGTGGCCGAGCTTGCCACCGCTCGGACGCCCACTCCCCGTGCATCGTTCGGTCGCGCGCGCGTGCCTTTCTCCGAGGTGATCCCAGATGCTCCAGGACGATGCAGATTTTCTGGCGCTGGCCTCGCCGAGGGAGACGCACGCGTCCGAGCCATGCCGAGCGAGGGGAGGGCGAGGGGCCAGCAAAAGGGGGGGCGAGGGGCAGCGAGCAGAGGGAAGCACGGGCCGAGGAGAGCGGGGGCGAGGCACGCGGAGCATCGGGCGAGGAGCGAGGCGCGACGCGGAGGGCGCTGAGAGCTGGAACGGAGGCGCGAGGAAAGGTCACCCCTACGCGTCTCCCGCTGGCCCCGACGCGCATGCGGCCGAGCTTGGAGCCTTCCCGGAGCTCCTCCGGGGCCTCGTTGGGCGCTTCCTCGGGGCTGCATCGGAGGTGAACTGGGGGCTCTCCCAGTGCCCTGGGGCCGCGCTGAGACCTCTGAAAACTCTCCGATGCCGGTGTGGCCCGCCTCCCAAGGCCTTCCGGGGCCGTCCTGGGGCTTCCTTGGACCAGCCTTGGCAGCTCCATCGACCCACCCGGGGCCCTTCTGGGGCCGTCTCGGGGCCGTCCCAGATGCGCGCTGGGGCACGAGTACGCTGTGCAGTGCACTCGTGGGTCAGGGGGGAGGCGAAAAGCTGAGGAAGCCAAACACATTGAAAAGACTGTCCAAACAACATGCGACGTCCTGGCTTCTTCAATAAAGGGTTTCTGGAGGTCCCGATCCTTTCCCCGAGACCAGTTTTTATCCTGAGTAGTTTTTCGACGGTCCCGAGGCCCGGCGAGGGCCGTCTTCACTTCTAGAGGTTCCCGAGCTTTTTCTCCCGTTTTCTCGTTAGTTCTTGTGATGTTCTCCTTGACTTCTTCATTATTCTCTCTCTTCTCTCTCTCTCTCTCTCTCTCTCTCAGTCCATCCTTCTTTGTTTCCCTCCTCCTCTCCTCATCCGTCTTCTCCCCCCCCCCTTCCTCATCCGTCCTCCGTCCTCTCTCCCGTTCTCTTTCCCTTCTCCCCCCCAGCCAATGCAATGCAATGCGATGCGATTGCAATGCAGTGCAATGCGACAGCAATGCAATGCCTTTGCAATGCAATGCGATTCCAATGCAATGCGATTGCAATGCGATTGCCATGCAATGCGATTGCCAAGCAATGCGATTGCAATGCAATGCGATTGCAGTGCAATGCCAAGTAGAAGAAGGGACTTGCACTCAAGTATCCGGGTGCCCGGCGGCGGCAGGGGCTTACACTAAAGTATCCCGGGGCACGGCGGAGTTTTGAGGGAGGGAAGAGGGAGGAAGAGAAAAGGAGGAAGAAGGAAAATGAGGGGGAAAGATGTAGAAGAAGGGTGCGAGAGAGGGGAAAGTGGATGCTTTCATCGAAGCAATCATTTCAGCAGTACTTCTGATGATGTCTTGCGGTTCATCCCTCCCGCCTCTCCCCACATCCCTTTGCAATTTGAGTTCCCTTCTTCTTGGCTCCTTAGCCTCGATTGTGCTATTCTTGTTGCTGGCGATTGTACCCTCGACATAAAGTCCAAGACTGCCATGGGGAACCCGCCGTACGGGAGTAAAAAGTACTACGAGAAACTCCAGGCCCAAGCGGATTGCACAAAAAACAAACAAAAAAAACAACCGAAGAACCAAGAAACAAACTCCACCACCCATCGTCTATCCACAGCAGGCGAACAATGAGCGCTTGGCCACCAAGAGGGCGGTGAACTTCTTGAAAAAGCCCGAGATCAAGAAGGTGGTGCAGAAGGCTGCGCGGGCCGCCGTGGCGCCACTGAAAAAAAGCTCTTGCCGAAGCTCGCAGCAAGGCAGAGCAAGCAACGACCCCGGGGGAAGGTAAAACCCACGACATACCCCCAACCATTACGTTACAAACAACCCCGCTAAAACACAACACATAATTATTATTGCACCCCTGAACTCCCTTCCCCCCTCCTCCCCAGGAGGCGCAGCAACCAACACTACAGGAACCTCTGCGGACAGACGACCAGGGCTGACCACTGGATGACGGAGTACAACAAGCTCTACTACAAGCACGAGGCCGCGTCCCTTTGAAAATCTATGTACATAAAGATTTTGAAGTAAATGTGAAAACC